CCCCCCCCCCCAAACCCTGCCCCAAGAGACCCCCGCGCAAAACGCCCTCGGGGGGGGGGGTTTATTAAAGGGACCCTAACATTAAAGGTCATCTTTCGCAGCTACGAAGACGCAGGCCCTAAGCGCTCTTTGCGCGAAGGCCTGCCGGAAACGAGGAACACTCAGCACGCTTTCACGCGTGATCCACAGAGACCTGTCTCGAGGATTAGAACTTCGAACGGTTTAGTTGCAAAGTTGATAGGGGGTTTATCCCGAAACCTTGAACCCTAAACACTCTCAGGACTTTTGCAGCTTCAGCTGTAAAAGCCCATTATTTTCAAATTCGGGGTTGCAATACTGCCATCCTTGCCCGAGTACTAAACTTACTATCAGTCGATATAGTGCAGCAGTAGTGAGGTCTTCATTGGCATGCTCTTTCTCTGGGCTCTCGTTGAGGGACTTAGTTTGAACTTGCCTCATCCGGATAGTTTTGCTAATCATGGCAACTGAGAATGTATTCTCCTTCCAACCGTTCTAACACCCTCACAAGCAACTTCTGAAACCCCTTATCACCTCGTATCAACACATGCTCTTGGCAGCTCAAATCTCGTTCTTTTAGCAACTAAACCCCTAAACCCTTAGACCCTAAATGGCCTGAACCCTAAACCCTGAAACCCTAAACCCCAAACCCCCAAACCCTAAACCCTAAACCCTGAACCCTAAACCCTAAACCCTAAACCCTGAAACCCTAAACCCTGAAACCCTAAACAGTAGATGCCCTCCTTGCCTCGGCTTCCTCCAAACTCGCGGCCAGGCATCCCAGGGCGCCCAAGAAGTCCGCGTGGCGCAGGAAAAGAGCTGGACCGCAATCCAGATTCCTGGGCTTTTGAGGGTTTAGGGTTTCGGGTTCATTTAGGGTCTTGGATTTTGGGTTAATTTAGGGTTTAGGGTTTCTGTAGGGTTCAGGCGTTTTGAGTTTAGGACTGCGCGCATGGGTTTAGGAGTTCGGGATCTGCGTGTTTGGGTGCTCACGGAGGGATCTGGATTGCTCGTCTTTCGGGCGCTTTTGGGGAAGACCCCTCACCCGAAAACCAGTTTCACTCCGATATCGTCACCCCAAACCCTAGCTACCCCCCCCCCCCCAAGGTAGGTAAATAATAATGGCCCAGAACCCATAAGCCCAAGGGGTTATTGTTCTACATGCTTTTAGGGTGCAGTAGTAAGCCATGGTCCCTATAGTATGCCACATAGAAACTTGGCTCCGGTCCTATCAGCTCTTTGGGTTTGGTCTCAGGGAATGATAGCCTGAAGTTTCTTGCACTGCTCTGCAAACCTTAAGGACGAATTGACTCCCAAAAAGTGTTTGAGGCTCATATACCATATAAACCCTAAACCCTAAACCGAATATAGGGATTCATGGTATAGGGGCGTAGAGGGCCTGATTGTTAAGGGTCATTGGGTCCCCAATGCTCAGATTTTGAAGGGCACTGTAAGGTTTCCTAACAGTTCTCCATGAAGGGCTCTTGGGCAAAAGGGGTAGAGGGCGTTAGGCTTTGGGGTCTAGAATCTAGCGGAGGTTAGGGTTTAGGGTGTTAGTGTGTTAGGTTTTTTGACATTATGGGGCGGGGAAACTGAATCCCTCATCACTGGACGGCAACAGACCCCTCAAAATGCCCAGGGGGTCAACCCAGAAGCAAACAACTATAGGACCTTTTAAAGATAAAACCCTATAATGATTGCTTGGAAACCTATCTACACGCTAAACCCTAAACCCTAAACCGTACCACCGGCAGACAGAGCTCCGGAAAGATCTGGAGATGATCTCCCAGGCTTTCGGATTGTCGGCCAGGAAGCCTGAGAGAATGTCTTGCTCTTTAGGGTTTAGGGTTTAGGGTCTAGGCGCTGTAGTGTTGTGAAACTTCAGCTTAGACTCGGATTTAGTAGCGACAACTCCGTAAGTTGTGCCTGCAACCCGTGTACGAAAACGATCCAAACATACAGTACCGTGACGAATGTTGGGTAAAAGCGCATATCTGTAAGCCCCGTGGCCTCCGACCAAGTCAGATAATAAGCCCTTGGAGTGAATTCCATGACGTAAAAACTCCAAACCCCCGTCTGAACCCTAAACCCTAAAGTCTGCACCCGAGTGGTTTACGGTTTAAGGCTTAAGGTGTTAGAGGAAACACCCTAAACCCTAAACCCTAAACCCTAAAACCCTAAACCCTAAACCCTAAACCCTAAAACCCTAAACCCTAAACCCTAAAACCCTAAACCCTAAACCCTAAACCCCTTGGAACAGGAGTGGTCCAAGGTGCCGCCAACGAAGAAGACGGGGGTTTTGCGCTCGCCAGGATACGGCATCGCACCGATATTCTGGGCCTCAAGGGTTCAGTTGAATAGGGTTTAGGGTTTAGGGTTTAGGGTTTAGGGTTTAGGGTTCAGTTGAAAGCTCCCTTAAGTTAGGGTTTAGGGTTTTGGGGGTTTGGGGTTTAGGGCTTTAGGGCTTTAGGGCTTTAGGGTTTTAGGGTTTAGGGCCTCAAGGTTCTGCATACGGGCACTATTGGGGTTCTAGCCTCTAGGTGTGATGATGCTGTTCAAGGTTGTGCAGGATTTTGCAGTGGCTTAAGGGTCAAAAAAACCTTATAGGTAGGAAAACGGCGTAAGGATATAAGCTACTTAGGCCCGGTTTAGGATTTTGGGATTCAGTCGGCAGTGGCTCGGATAGAGCCTGCCTCAGCGCTATAGTGGTGGACGGCCGGAATTCTGGGCAGCCACATGACTAACAAATTAGGGCTTCGGGTTCAGGGGCTTGTCCACAGCACCCCAGAGACAAAACCAACAATAAACAAAGACAAACAACATGGAGCACAACCCCAAAATCCCTAACCCGACTAGAAGTGTAGCGACCCCCCAAATATGACGACAGTTGAACTGTGCTTGACTATCACCTTTGGTCCGTCATGCTGCATGGGGTCTTTACAGTGCTCTTTTGGTACAGCTCGCATTGTAGCAGGATGATGGCTTGCGCATGATTGAGAGAAGCAGTCGCCGGTCGCCGGTTAGCCCTACTCACAGAACCTTACCTCACAACCCTAAACCGAAAACTCTGCTGTGAACACAACCCTGAACTCTCTAAACCCTAATCCCTGAACCCTAAGCTCCGACTATAGTCTCCTTTGAACCACCATAGAGGTCATAAGCTCTAAACCCGAAACTCTCATCCCTAAACCGGAAGCTCTAAACCCCAAGCTCTAATCCCTAAGCTGTATAACCCCCCCTAAACCCTAAACCCTAAACCCTAAACCCTAAACCCTAAGCCCTAAACCCTAAGCTCTAAACCCGGCCCCTAATTGAAACGGCCTTAGTCCTCTGTGCGGCAACCGCGAGGTCCCAACTCGAGTCGCAACCTCCACAGGGCGTCCAGCGTTTGTGATTCTCATAGGGTTTAGGGTTTAGGGATATAGGGTTATAGGGTTTAGGGTTTAGGGTTTAGGGTTTAGGGTTTAGGGTTTAGGGGTTTAGGGTTTAGGGTTTAGTGTTTAGGGTTATAGGGTTTAGGGTTATAGGGTTATAGGGTCTAGGGTTATAGGGTATAGGGTATGGTTGTCGTATTCTTATTTGTCGTATGATTGCGGTATTGCTACCATTAGCAATGACCAGTCTCTACATAAATAGTTACAGAGTCTAGCAAATACGTCATTAAATTGATAAATACACGCACATAAACAAATAAATAGAACAATAAACATATATATATATGCACTGGCTTAGCTTGCTGTTCAACTCTTGTTCTATGTATGTATGTATGTATGTATGTATGTATGTATGTATGTATGTATGTATGTGTCTGTCGGTCTGTATTAGGTAGCAGCCAGACAGGTAGGTAGGCAGGCAGCCAGCCAGCCAGGTAAGTACGTGTGCACGCACTTTCGGATCTGAGACGTCGGTATTACAATATACAGATGTACACTGTACAAATATATGTATATTGTATCCATGTTTTTCATGCATGAATGCATTTGTGTATGTATGCTCCATTGCGCAACCGCGGCTCTTATACATAATATAGAAGATGATAAATAATTAACTGTGCTATTTTGGGGGCTCCTTATTATAACTTTACCATAAAGGAGCCCATAACTTCCCAGAACCCTATTCTAGTTATTAAGGCTTCCACATTAGCAGCTCGGGAGATGCGCAGATCGCCGCCTGCCTGTGGAGTGGAATCTTCGAATACGGCCGTCTCGCGGGTCCTCCTTCTCCTCATGGGTTCGGGTTTAGGGTTTAGGGTTTAGGGTTTATCCCAGATCACGTTAGGAGGTTCCTGGTTTGGAGGGGGCTTGTACTTGCACATGCACATAGTTTGTCATGACATTCGAACCATCGAGTTTGGAGAGGGTCCTCTCATGAGTACCTGTGGAATATAGACAGAACTTAAGGTGCTTGCGCTTTGCTGTGGGGATCGACTTATGGAATTGACTACTTGTAAAGTTCTGACCCGTCTTGTTCAAACCGCGCCTCTTCGGTGCTTTTCGTCTCCACCGGTTTGGAGGAGGCAGCGGTACTGGCCACCGAGCGCGAGAACGCGCGGGCGATGACGGTACTGGCAGACACGACCATGTTCAGCACCGCAGCCGCCACGTCCGCCTACGATGGCCAAAGATTACGGTTCAAGGGGCTGTGCTGCAAAAAGCACCAGAAGTAACATCGCTGTTGGATTACGACCTGCCGACAACCATGCACACTGCCCTTCAGCACGAAAACCCGAACAATATCTGCCACTCAACCTTCAAAGCGAGACTGGACAATGCCAAAATAGGTCCTCAAGATCTTACCTCGACCACAACCACTTTCATCCAGGCTGGAAGCAAGAGCAATGATATAATATAACACCAGCGAGCGTAGAGGAGAAATCGGAAGTACGCGTAATATCTGAAAACAGCAACACAGCAACACTGACACAAAGAGTCATAGTAATAGCAGAAATGTTTAAAGAAAAAACCGGAAACGAAACCTGAGCTATACCCATCTTGGCATGACTAGCAGTGACTGGCCGAAATAATGCTTATCTTGGCCACTCTTCAGCACAAAAGGAACTGACTCCTTAATGGGTGCCATTTCAAGCTACAAAATGCAAAAACAAATATCCCTCAGATTGACCAAGCAAACATCAGCAGCAGGAACCGACGAGAGTAGGAATTGAATAGAGTGCATACATCGACAGCTGATAGCTATAGTATAGTACAACGGGTCATGATCCTAGTCGGAGCAACAGCGTCATCATCATCATCATCGTCGTCGAGGAGGCCTTCCAATGCCTTCTCAAAACAAGTCCCGACCTGGCCCTTTCGTGTCAGACTCAAATCATCAAACAGTGCTACAAGAAGTAGTGGTGCTACAAAGAACATCTCCACCGTGCTTGGCACCCCCACCCCCACCCACAAAGGCACAAAAGGACACCGAAAGAAGGAATGAACGACAAAGACACAGCTGAACCCTAAAACCTAAAACTTAACACCTAAATCCCTAAACCCGAGAATCAAGAACCTAAACCGCAAGGCCACTGCTTGGACGACAGACCTGTTTCTGCACCCTCTAGGCCCAATGGCCTCATTGTAGCAGGGGTTGTCGAAGTCCTTCATCGTAACCTTGGGGCTTACTAGGGGACAAGGGGATTTAGCTTAATGTTTAGGCAGATTTGGAGGGGCTAGCGGTTTGAGGGCCTTCTTTATTTCAAGGTTGAATAAGGGCTTGAGCAGAGCACGGCCATCAAAATCATGCTCGATGTAGTGTACATTGTCACCTTCCTGACATAGAGCTTCCACTCATGACGGTTCAGGCACACCCCGCCCTCCGCAGAAATCCTAACTTCGCTGACTTCTCAACCCCTCCTAAAAGTTAAACTTTTAGCCTACTTATTAAATTAAAGTTCATGTAGAAACCGAAAAAGTTAAAGTCCGAAGAACCCTAAACCCTAAACCCCAAACCCTAAAACCCTAAACCCAAAAACCAAAACCCAAAACCCTAAACCCTAAACCGTATGGGACGCCCAGTGACTTTGGCGAAATGGGCCGCGTTCAAGCCAGCTGCGAGTCCGAGACTACTGCAGCCTTCCTCGGGCGTGGAAGGTTTTAGGGTTGGTTTAGGGTTTTGGTTTAGGGTTTAGGGTTTAGGGTTTGAATTCAGGGGCTCAAGAATTAGAAGAAGGTTTTGGTTCGAACTCGAAATTGTCCGATCCGTCTTCTACCAGACAGAAGCTCTGAGTAGCCCCAAAACCCAACCTTCAGACTTTAGACTTCATGCTGCTGCGCTACCACCGTAAGCTCCAAACCCTAAGGAAGCAGATCCCCCAAGCCCTAAACCCTAAACCCATGCTTTAAATCAGAGCTCCTCGCCATAGATGTCGCTGACCAGCTTGTTGACATTCCTCCCAAGCAATTTCGAACTACGCTTTCGAAACGCCAGTAGGAATTACATGCGGTCTTGGTGCGGGAAGACTCGCATGATCCTTGATCGTCGTAGTTGTTTGGCTCTTCCTCTCTCTCCATGCACATATGTAAAAAGACCTATATGCATGCACATCTATAAAGATAAATGTGTAGAAATATTATGCAGATTCATGTACAAGTAAAACAATTTTGTGTACATACCATGTTTGCTGATTCTACCTACCACTATCACCATCATGATGACTGTGCTCTATTTGCGCTGTCGATGGACACACCTATTGCCACAATTACTGTCATGATCTTGCTATGCATGCCATGATTATTTTCTTCGTATGTAAAACCCGAATAGCAGGCTCTTGATGCTGCGAACACCGCACCTCTAGTAACTCAACCCGGATTTGTCGAACATTGCCGTGTGGGCTTAGACTGCGCCAATGCCCAGTGGTCTTGAGCATTAGGGTGTGTTTTCAGATGTGGGGGTTCGGCGTTCGGTGTCGAAGACTTCGGTTGCTGGTCCTTTCTCGAAACATCTCGAAACCAACATGACATCACTGATGTGGTCCGCACATGCAGCAGCCTGAACCCGAAATCCTAAACTCATCTAAACCCTAAACACCATGACCCAAAATAGATCAGAAAGGCCAGATGTGGGCATCCCATTGGATGGACTAAGACAAGATGCACCTATGGGGTGGGTCACGGCATCAGGGTTCTAGAGCGACTATAGCCTACTATAAGACTACTGTAACCGGGCTCGGGGGGCCGGAGAACTGTAAATCTTCAAGCCCTAAACGCGAATCACTGGACATAAGGGTTAGGGATGTGTTAGGCATGGTTAAGGGTTTAGGGTTCAGGGTAAAACCGTAAAACCCTCTAAAGCCCTCTCAACACCCTGTAAGCACCCATCAAGCAGCCATATAAACAACAGAATCACCCTCTAAACCCTGAACCCGGACCCCCAAAAGCCCTGCACGATGAAGGCTTAGCATCCTTGATGGTCTAAAGAACCCCATTTATACAGCCCATGTAGAACACGCACAAAAAAGGATCATTCTGTTGGAGATGGTTGCAATGATGCTTCTACATAGATAGGTTCATCAATATCTATTCAGGCGGGCATGCTTATTGTAACATTAGGGTTTGGGTTTTGGGGTTTCGTAACTAGGGTATATATATATATATATAATGTGCTACAATCCAACTCTGCCTATTAAGGCCCCTGTATCATAGTAGCCTGTACAACAACCCTAAACTCTAAACCTTGGGGGCCTGGAATCGCCCTTCTGTGCCAGGGCCAGGCACTCGTGAAAAGTCTTGGCAGAGGTCAAGAGCCTGACGCGTTCATGGGTTTAGGGTGTACTGTAGGGGCCTTAATAGTTAGAATCAGAATAGGGTTTTGGGGCCCATTATCATACTATAATAGCAGAAAGGAGCCACCACAATAGCATTAATAATTATTAAGACCCCTAATTACATTAGGGCTCATGGTGGTGGGATGCCTGAATAGCTTCAACCCAGTGAGCCCCCAAAACAGAAAGCAAGAGGGGAAGAGGGTTTAGTTCATGGTTGTAGGATCTTGCAGCTGCTTAAAGGGGGTCTGAAAGGTTCTCAGAAGGGATCTACCAGGGTTCCTGTAAAAAGGGTTCAGGGCTGAGGAATTCAAGCTATCGCTTGAGGTACGGTTCAGGGCTGAGGAATTCAAGCTATCGCTTGAGGTACGAGAACCGGAATTTTCTGGCTCTGGGCTTCAGGCCCTTAAGGCCTAAACCCTAAACCCTAAACCCTAAACCCTGAATCCTGGCTTTGGGCTTCAGGGGCTTTGGGCTTCAGGCCCTTAAGGCCTTCAGGCCTGTAGGGTTTCGGCGCTCAGGTTTGTGGCAGATTTTTGGTCTGAGGTTTAAGGGTTTAGGGCTTAGGGTTTAGGTTTAGGGTCTAGGGTTTACGCTTCGGGTTTAGGGTTTAAGGTTTAGGGCCTAGGGTTTAGGCTTGGGGATTTTCCGTCTGAGTATGGAGGCCTCATGATTCTTTTTGAAACTGTTATCCAACTCATGCCCCTGTATGCAGAAACTTCCCTGGGTTGTAATTTTGGAACTCCCAAAAGATTTTATGAAAAGGTACTTAAGTAGGACCATAAGGGAGATTCTCGGGTTTCCTAGAGGGCCAGGCATAGTACCATGAATACTGGGCTTTGAAGCAACCAGGGACAAAGAAGTATGCAGCACTTTTATTTCATAATTGTTCCTTGCAGGAACAGGTCCCCCAACAAGTAGTAAAGTATGGTACTCCAAAGCCCAGAAAAAGGGAAGGCGGAGAGGAAAGGCCTCACGAGCCCAAGAAATGCAGCGCCGCCCGTCGCAGTGCCACCCAGGCGAGTGAAGAAGGGGCTGGCGCCGTCTTCCGTTCCCTGGTCCACTCGGAGCACCTGAGGAACCCTAAGCCCTAAGCCCCTAAACCCCTAACAGTCTGTCATGGGCTCGGAATTTCCCAAGGCAGAGAGTTTGATTCGACATATATGGCAGCGACGACTCTTTGATTGTCCCTCGGTTTAGGGCTCAGGGGTTTAGGGGTTTAGGGTTTAGGGGTTTAGGGGTTTAGAGATCTATCGCTCCCTCTGCAGTTGTTGGACATCTGCGGCAAGGAGACAGAAAGCTCGGAAGCATGCTGTTCAGTTAGTGCACACGCACTGGATTCCACATAAAAAGCCTTAACGAAGGTGGAACTGGTTCAACAAGAACTTCTTGGCCAAAAGCAATGTGTTTGTGGTTGCCAAGCTTGTGGTGAATGGACTTGCATGGACTTCAAGTTTTCGAAAAACGGCATTGGCAGCATGTGTTGTGATGTTGTGATGCTGCACAGGTGGCACAAGCTCCAAAGCACTCTGCTCGGAACAAGCCGGCTGGAACCAAGACTCATGCTGCACGAAAGCCAAGCATGTGCCACAAAAACCTTGCTGTTGTTGGCAACATGTGTCCTGGAATGTTTGATGGCGACATTATTGTATGGTCGCCAGAATTTAGTTCGTAGCAATTGCTTGGTCAATATGTCTGCCAAGCTGGATTGCAGATTTGCTGGCCAAGCTTCTTTGTCAGCCCCTAATCTTTGAACACTTCACATACACTTCCCCTCCATCATTAACGGGATTGCACGAAGAGGCTGAGACAGCACACCAGGCGGGCGGAAGACGCAACCCGAACACAACAACACGCGCTACGGAAGATACTCTAGCTACACCTGACGCCTGAAGTCCTCCAGCCTAACTTGCTGTTAACCGGAAAGCCGAGGAACGGAAACACCGGAGCCGATATTCACGATGATGCAGGGATACAAAGGGTTCGGCCATTCCACAAACTCCTGGTCGGTCGGGGACTGTGGGTTAAGTACAGGGTCTTCAATAATCGGCAGAGGGATTGGGATCAACTATAAACCCTAAACCCTATAAACCCTAAACCCTAAACCCTAAATTTAAACCCTAAACCGTATAGCTTACTCAGAATAAGGAAACCTCGGGAAGTTTGTTAGCTCAGGGTTTAGGGTTTAGGGGTATTAGGGCTTCAGGGCTCTTTGGGGACCTCGATATCAGGGCTCCAGGTTTTCAGGGCATGAGGATGCACTGCAAATGGGCTCTAAGATTAGCTTCAGGGTTTAGCTTAGGGTTTAGGGTTTAGGATTTAGGGTTTAGGATTTAGACCATACCGCGAGTGAAGTGAAGAAGTTTAGGATTTAGTGCTTACGGGGTCTGGTTCGCGAGTTTGCTGAAGAAGGGCGCAGGCAGCAACGATCGGAAGTTTCCCGACCAAACAACATGAGCGGTGTGTAATATTGTTGTTCCGAGAAGGGGAGTCTCTGTGTAAGGGTAGATTTGTTGGCTTGGGGTTTAGGGTCCCTAGCGTTTTACTGGGTCTCATCTTAAACACAGCTACATCCACTGTCGAAATCATACAGAACCGTTTCAGCACCTCGCAAGTGCCGCGTTGTACACGGGCATGGCATAAAGGGACGGTAGACGCAGTAGTACTGATGTCGGGGCCTTTGTAGTCAGCATACGGTTTTGTGGCATAATACATCATAATTTTATATACGAGTTATAATAAGGAACCCCTAAATAGTACAGGTAATTATTTCGACCCCTACATCAGTACTAGCGTCGTCATCGTAGTGACCGAACCCAGAGACCGCATGACTGAAGAGATGTTCGGGTACTTTCACGAATCCCTCAAACCTACATCGACCGAAAGGTACCAACGAGAAAGTTTTTTTCCGAAGCCATACCGTGAATCGACTGTACGTCAACTTCAAGACACGAGGCTTACCCTCTGAAGACGCTGTAGAGCTGTCGAAAGTTTAAAGTACGTAATCTTAGGGGTACTTTAACACCTTTGTGTCTATGTTTCAGTTTGGGGGTGTAGCAGCGTCGTTGATCGTTGATTTATTTAGCGTTCAGGTACCACATTAGCCTGTACTCCCCCAGACTACTAACAAATCTGCATTACTATAAACAGCCTAAACCTAAATGCAAAAAATACTGTGTTGTATGGACCTCAGAAGCCCGATAACACCCTTACAGAACCCTTATAGAGGCCTTTCCTTTCGGGGGCGGAATTTCTGTACATTGTCGCGGGATTGCGTACCCTGAGAGCCCCAGAAGTCTTTTCTTCGGGGCCTTGAGATGTGAGGGTTTTAGGATTTGAGAAGTTAGGGTCAGAAGGTTTAGGGTTCCCATAGGCCCTAAAGTAGTTCCTTTTTGGGGCTCATATTTAGAACCCTATAAGGTAATCTCAAAAAGGAACTACTTTGGGGCCTATGGGTAGCCACCGGATCAAGTTGCGTGCTTTCCTTGGTGAAGACCGCGCGACTTCTCACGAGTCTCAGACTACATCAATGTATGAGATGCCTGACCCTGCACCCTCAAACCTAACAAAACCCTCAACCCTAATACCCTAAACCCTACACCCTAAACCCTAATACCTTAACCCCAACAAACCCTCAGCCCTAAAACCCTGGACCTCAACTCGAAACCCCAAGCCCGACGCCACAAACCTCAAACCAAACCATGGACCGGGAACCCAAGACCCGAGACTGTGATCTATGACACATATCAGACTAAACACCCAAAATGCATCACGGCATCACAGTGCCTGATAGCAAGCGTTATTTTTTGTGGGGTTCGCTACATCAGGGTCCCATTTTGGGAGCATGCCCGTCTCGTAACCACGGCCCCAAAACCTGAAAAGGAAACTTCCTCATGATACACCCTAAAGACGCCAAACACACAAATAAAACCCCTAAGCCCTCAAACCCCAAAGCCGCAAACCCCAAAACCCTCACTTATTCTTGTGTCGACCGTGGCCAGCCTTCGTCACCGGCTCTCCAGGGAAGCTAGGCGGAGGCATCTGGAAGACCTGGCAGACATGCCCAGTGCGGCGCATGATACGCTGCTTCATTATGCCGGCGTAGACTATATGTGTGTGTGTGTATATATATATATACACACACATAAATCTATAATATCGCTGTGCAATATAGCTGTAGACCTTTTATCTGCATTATTCCAGCGTAGATCCCCAAACAGTGATGGAGTGCCACAACCACCATGATGACCAAGATCACCACGACCATCAAGACCGCCACGACGACTACTGACCGAGACGATGATGACGCTAAAGACCACCACGAGACACCACCGGGAGACCACCAGGTAGGGTTTAGGGTTTAGGGTTTAGGAAACCCCTAAACCCTAAACCCTATAAGCCCTAAGAACACCCAGAGACCAAGACGAGACCTCCAGGACCCCACGGCCAAGCTGCCTCGACGGATTCTGTGCAAATAACCTATTACATGAGCGCAGAGTATGCACCGCACGACAGTGAGCCACGTCCTGAGAACGCTCTTTTTCTGCGCACCGGGCAACACTAAGCAATTCTCTTTATTGTGGTTAGCAGAACACACCACTTACTACCCGTGGTTATAACATGTTATAACGTAATCAAGACAACGGCAGGAAGAGTACGAATCACATGAATCTCAGCAAACCCGTCAATGTTAATGTTATGAATAACGGCAAGCCGATAGTTTGCCCATGTAGCCATGTAGCAGGTCGCAGTCCCTACACGAGCATATATACCCTCGCATGGGTATGTGGGCTTCTGATCGGGTTTTCGTTCTTACTTACGTCACTTCCGTCCGTCGTCGAGGCGTACGGTCTAGTGTTACTGTTACTTGCATGACATACTAACTACTCAATAAGTACTGGCATACATACAGACATACATACATACATACATACATACATACATACATACGTACATACATACATACATACATACATACATACATACATGCAGTAGATTCCAGTCCCTTCCATTTCATGTCCAGTCCATTGCATTGCATTGCAATGCATTGCACTACA